CTCCACTTTGCCTATGGGGGTGTGTCAAAGTATATATATGCTATATATGTTCAGGCTGTAGTGGGGTAGCCAATATGGGGTACAACCCCTTTTAGGGTTTCATACTTGTACCCAACCCTTTCATAGTTCATTCATTCCTGCTGCTAGATTCTGACAGTTGAGTCAGTCATAACACTTCCTATGGGCGACGGTGTCACACGAGTCGTTAGCGATGAGTAGCAAATCGAATGGCGAGATAGCGGTGGCGCGTGAAATGGCGATAAACAGAACCGCCAACTTGCCGTTTTTCTTTTTATTCTCAAGTCATCATCGCTGCCTTCAACGCTGCTGAGATGAGGGGACTGCCTTCTCCCTCCTGCTCCTCCCCGATTTTGCACCTTATCCTCCTTCTGTGCTTGTTGGGAGCAATAAAATTATCCATTGCTTATGTACCCTTCCGAGACATTTAAAAACATTAAAAAAAAGAATCCGTTCTCCTCTCCTCCGCCTCCCCTTCTCCCCCTCCCATTCTTTTCCCCCAATCCATCCCCAACCCCCCTCCCCATTTCTCCTGATTCTTCCCTCATGCCATGTGTCATCCTCTCTCAGGCTACAACGATATTCTTGAGAGCTGGGCGTAGCACGTGCATGCAGTGGGTCCGGACAGCCATTTCATCGTCCTGGCCGCTGACCAGACAGCCTTGGCCTTCGCCACCAGCAAGTAGCCGAGTAGGTGCGTCCTGCCAAGAGCACGAGGGGTGTCCGGCTGAGGTGATGTATGGCTGGGTGATGTATGGCTGGGTGATGTATGGCTGGGTGATATATGGCTGGGTGATGTATGGCTGGGTGATGTATGGCTGGGTGATATATGGCTGGGTGATTTATGGCTGGGTGATATATGGCTGGGTGATATATGGCTGGGTGGTATATGGCTGGGTGGTATATTGCTGGGTGATATATGGCTGGGTGGTATATGGCTGGGTGATATATGGCTGGGTGATATATGGCTGGGTGATATATGGCTGGGTGATATTTGGCTGAGTGATTTATGGCTGGGTGATATATGGCTGGGTGATATATGGCTGGGTGATATACCGCTGGGTGATATATGGCTGGGTGATATATGGCTGGGTGATATATGGCTGGGTGATATATTGCTGGGTGATGTATGGCTGGGTGCTGTATGGCTGGAAAAGCCTCGTCATCACCTTCTCACGCCCATCCACGTTCTTCTAATTCGAGTCCTCATGCATATACTTATCATTTGCGATTCTCCTTTAGTGGTACTGTGCCCATGTGCCATGCATGCATTCATTTGAGCGAGCCCTTTCTCCCTTATGACCTTTTGTTTGGTGCAGTGTGTCAAGTGGCGGTGGAGCGGTAAGGTGTGCAGACATGTGAATGTGTTGTTCCTGTGAGAGCGGGGGATGAGCCTGGGACGAGCAGGGAGAGGGGTGTGGGAGAGGGGCAGGGGAGTGTGAGGGTGAGGGGAAGAGGAGGGAGGGAGAGGAAAGGGGGAAGAGGAGGGGGAAAGAGAGTGGGTGGGGGGGAGGGGGGAAGGGGCGGGAGATATTAGGGAGGTAGAGAAGGATGGGATTGCTGGTGGTGTCTTGGACTTGCAAGGACGCGAGGCGGGGAGGTCTGCAAGTGCACTCTACAGGGTACATCGTATGGTACATCCTAGGCATGAGCATGGGCTGGGGCGCGGGTGGGCTGGGCCAAGTTTTGCGAGTGAACTGTCAAGCCAAGAAGGGCCCGCCCCAGCTCGGCACCAGGGCCGGACACCCAGGGCTGGACATGGCGCAAGTCGCAGCCCGGGGTATCCGACATCAGGCTGGGCCTGTCCGGGCCAGCCCGGGTCGACCTGATCAGTCAGTGACGCGCGCGACCCGAGGCGCGCCGCACGCGCATCAAACCTTGTCAGCGTGACAAGGGGGTGTGTGTGGGCACGACTAGAAGGTAGTGTGGGCGCTAGCACCGGTGGGGGTGTAGGTGCGAGCAGGGAGGCATGGTGGGCTGGGCGGGGGGACCAACCTAACCAGGTCCGACCATGGCCCGACACGGGTCAGCCGTAAATGCGCCCCCCGGGCTGCCTTAGCCAGAGCCCATCTTGTTTGTGAGGTGATCCTGGCCAGGTCGATCCGGGGCGGCCAGGCCCTACGATATCAGGATTTTTTCCCTGAAATTCCTGATTTTCAGCCTAGTTTTGTGTACCTACACTGATTTTTCAGTGTTGAGATTTTTGTGACACTGATTTTTTCAGCCTTTACTTCATAGCTAACACTGATGTTTCAGACTTTTATCGAAGTGTACACTGAATGCACATTCCTAATCCTTCCCGTGAAACACCCGAACGATTGAGTCAACCAACATTTCCACATAAACACGTATAAATAAAAAAGAGACACATGCTGACGGGATGAGTTGTCTCAGTGGTTAGCGAAATTTGTACTGAATGGTAAGGTTACCGGTGCGAATCTTCCAGCCGTACAATTGATAATGGATTCTCTCTTGTACAAATTCAGGCTCTTATTTTTAGTAACCCTGAAAATTCAGGTTTTTTTTTCTAGGAGCCCTGAAAATTCAGGCTTTTTTTCACAGGGACCCTGATGCATCAACGTCCCTAAAAGTGAATCTGAGGGCCTGGGGGCGGCCCATGCACTCTTGCCCATAACCTCCAAACTAACGGTGGCAATAGATAGACTGTTGCTCTCTTCTCTGGCGACCCCGCTTTGGCCTGTACAGATTCATTTCTGGTTCCAGGTAAGTTCTGAAGGATTTCTGAAGGTTGTTGACTATGTGGAGTATACGTGGCATATTCCATGTAGTAGCAGCGAATGATCAGCGCGCTACTCCTATTTGTGTTGCTGGCCTACATTCTTATCCCTTTCCCCCCTCCCCCGTCCTCCCTGCAGTCCCTCCTCTCTGTTTCCCGCTCACAATCAGCTAAAGTGCGTTTGGAGCTGATCGCGTAATTGTGGCCCCATGCCTGCCTGCCTGCATTGCTGTCCTTGCTGTCTGACCTCTTCCCCTCTCTCCATCCTTGCTCCCGTCCTTCCTCTATGTGCTTTTCCTTCTCACGCTCAGCTAATGCACCTCAGTGCGGCCACTGTGTTCGTGTGTTCGTACCTGCGGCCACCAAGGCGCTACCACTTCAGCCGAACTGGCCCAAAATGAATCTCGTTGCTATGGGCGGATGCGTCACTATATCGTAGTCATCACACCCTTTGGCACCACCTCTCCCTCCCTCCCTCCGAAATCACGCAATCTTCCCTTCCATTTCCCTCTCGTCCTCTTTTTCTTGTGTATTTGGTCCCCTATGTTTCTCTCCTCCTTCCCCTCCCAACTCCCCCCACTTCTCTTTTCTCCCCCCATGTCTCCCCTATTTCTCCCTCCTTGGAGGCTGGTTGACAGTTGTCGCAGACGAAAGTCACGTGCACTCTAAACATCTTTCAAGAATGAATTGTCTCAAACCCCAACCCCGCTTTTCCCCCCCCCAACTACCCACGGCTGCTTCTGTTGAGAGGTCTCAAAAGCAGCCAGCTCGCCCTGGTGGCATGGCATGCAGGGAGGGCAGGTCCGTGGAGGTGACTTTTGGGGCACGGGCAGAACCAAGATGGCTGTGGCGGTTTTTCGACACTCCATAACTGAGTGACTTTAGGTTCTGGCATTCTGTTTGTGCGCTACATGGTTGGGAGAGCTGTGCTCGTGCACCTCATCCCATACCTAATCCCACGCTTCATCCCTGCCGCATCCCATTTGTCGAATGCCTCATCCTATACTGCATCCCATACCTTGTCCGAAACATCATCCCTCAACCTCATCCCTAACCTCAACCCATCCCGCATCTCATCCCATCTCACAAAGTTCACTGCATTGTTGTAACCGCATCACTTTTTCTTCCCTTACTGCCCTACCCTCCCATTCCTGCCTCCACTCGCCTGCCCTTCACTCATGCCTGCCCTCCACTCAATCATCTTGAGCTGAAAGAGACACAATATGTTGCCGAGGTTTGCATTGAGAGGGGTGGATTGTGGGGTTGCAATGAGCAGATACAGTTGCAGCCGTATGCCATTGAATTTTATAGATATTCTATATCGACTGATGGTTAGTTATAATGAACAAATCAGCACATTGGGGTGAGCATTGGTAGGTGGGGTTGTGAGGCCCCAAAGTTCAGAATTTTAACATTTCACAAAAATACTATCAATTTTAAACATGCATGTACCTACCTATTATCTAGGACAATCTAACCTATGCAAGCATCATCACCCCCAGCCAGGGCTGACGATATCAGACTATTTTAGTCTGATTGTCTGAAATTTCAGACTATTTTCCTGACATTCCTGATTTTTCAGAGTTGGCTGGTTTTGAGTGCTTCAGACTAATGGTTTTTTCGATACTGAAAAATTCAGAGAACTTGCTTACCGGATAATGAGTTTTCATACTACAGAGTACGAACTCCCCTTCGCCATACCTGTTACTTCGAGGAAAACCCATCCCTCCGAACTTGTGCAAAAGGTTCGTTAGTAGGAAAACCTGCCTTAGTCTATGAATTATAAAATTTTCAGAGTTATACTTCTCTGGTTCCTGAGAAATCAGAGTATTCAATTTTCATTATAGTCTATGAATCAGAATGGGCCTCAGACTAAAAAAAATTGGGGGGCCAAAAAAATCAGAGTGGTTTTATTCGAAAAGTCAGCCCTGCCCCCAGCCACACGCCAGCCTCAATCCTTGAACAAACAGAGACAGGCGAACAGAAGCAAAGCAGCAAGGCGGCGTGCACCCATTCCCTTCCGTCCACCGATTCCACCCAGCATCCCAAACACCCTGACCTGACATGCAGGGTGCAAAAAGTGGTGCTCCTCCGTGCCATCCCACTCTCCCATGCCTCTTCCCACCACCATGCCACGCAAGCTGCATTTCCCCCTGCTGCTGCCCCCTCCCCTCCACAATACCTCCCCTCCCCTCCACAATACCTCCCCTCCACTCGCCTTTCCTCCCCAATCCACCCATCACGCTTACCACCACCTTGCGCTCCTGCTCTTCCCCGCGCTGCTCCCTCCGCTGCCCTCGAAAGCGCGGATCATGGCGGGGTGGTGGCACACGTGCGCCATGGTGAGCCTCTCCTCCACGCGCACTCTCAGCATGCCGCTCACCAGCGCGCGACACTCCTCTGACACGCCTTCCCACGCTGCCCGCTCCACACGCGCCCGCCACTCGCCCTGCTGAGGCGCCTCCCCTGAGTAAGGCCGCTCGCCCGCAATCATCTCGTACAGCGTCACCCCCAGCGACCACACGTCAGCTGCGCGCCCATACCCCACTGCCTCTGTGATTCCTGCCTCTGCTCTCCCCGCTGCTCTTCTAGCGTGCTTGGCGGCGCCCGGGGCAGGCGGGCAGCGAGGGCGGCAGAGGGCCTCGACCTCAGGCGCCATGTACCCGGGCGTGCCTGCGGGAGTGCTGCACCCGCGCTGCCCCTCCGCCACCACCTGTGCCAACCCAAAGTCCGCCAGCCGCACTGCCCCCGCGGCCAGGCGGGGCAGGTGCGCGCTGAGGAGACGGGCGCGGACAGGCCGAGGGCAGCAGGAGAGGCGCGCGCAGGCGCAGCAGGAGCAGCGGCGGCGGAGAAAGGCAGAGGGGCGGAGAGGGGCGTGGGAGTGGCGAAGAGGATGTTGTCGGGATTGATCTCGCAGTGCACCACGCCTCGCTCGTGGCAGAACACCACGGCGTCGCTCACGTGCTTCACCACTTGCAGCGCCTCCGCCTCCGCCATTCCCCCTCCCCGCCCGCCTTCCCCGCTCGCCTTCCCCCACCACCGCCTCCCCTTGCCTCTCCCCGCGTCTCCCGCGCCGTTGCTTGCAGCAGCTTTGCGTCGCTGCATGAGGGCGCGGAGGTCGCCGCCAGAGCACACATCGGAGAGCATGTACGCGTGCTGCTCGCCCAGATGCACCTCGCGCGCGCCCAGCACGCCCGGACACTCGCTCAGCGACGCCGAAAGCATCGCCTCATTCGACGCCGCCACCAGCTGCTTTCGCTCCACGCGCTTCACCGCCACCACCTCACCGTTCTCCACTCGCCGCATCGCCACCACCGTGCCATACCCGCCACGCCCCAACTCGCCGGTTTGCTCGAACAGCTCGGGGTCCAGCACACCGTCGTATGCGCTCAGCACGAGCGGCCGTCGGCACGCGCGCGGAGCAACGGGTGTAGCAGCGGCTCGGTGAGCGTGAGGCGCATGGACTGCAGCTGGCGCCTGTTTCGTGGATTTCGCGACGGCTGCGGCAGAGTCGTCGGATCCGGAACACGTGGAAGCAACGGACAAACCCGAGGCGTCCGACGAGGCGACGAGGTCAACTTTGAACGGCGTGGGTTCCGTCGACGAGGTAGACGCCTCGGACGGCGCGTACCACGACGCCGTGACGAGACCTGCCAGAACGAACGCGGAGGAGAAACGGTTGGCACTCGCGTGCTAACCTAACTCTCTCTCGCGTCTATCTGGAAGGACGGAGCGGTTTCCTGGAAAGAGGGAGAAAGAGAGAGGTAGAAAAGGGGGGTCGAGGACCAAGGCTCGTGTTATTTTCGTGGGGTTAAGAAAGCGAGTGAGACTAGGTAAGTTTTTTGTCACGAAAAGCTCGATCACTTACCTTCTAACTTGCTCTCGTGTTTGGGCGCTTCGGATCGGCCTTCGCTGGTCGACTTGGCCAACGAGTTGCATGAGGAAGCGGCGTAATCCGACGGCCTAGCCATCCAAATGTCCATGGCGAGGAGTGTACGGCGTAAGCGATTGATAGCAACTGGTAACGAATCTCGCACTGTTCTAGAGAATGAGGCTTGTAAGGTTCTCAGAGTCTATTTGAGAGTTATGTTAGATGGTCACAACAAGGAAGCAGATTTTTTTGGAGAATGTCGTGTTGTGTGCTAAGTGGCTTCAAATGGCTGGACTTGTACTGAAGGCAAGCAGACTCCAAAAGAGAGCACGGAAAATGGACCAGGGAGGGAAGAGAGTGAAAAGGAGGTTGGGTAAGCGGCTCGACTGCTGGCAAGGCGATGACATCACTGCCAGAGCAAACCAGCGAAAATCGCGGAAACAAACCAAGGAACCTGTCAAGGCTCGTAAGGGCGTGTTACATTTTCCAAAGTCGCTGAAAGTCCGGACGGCTGTCCGGGCGCGTGCGAAGATTGCGACGTCGCAAGGTCGTGTTGCGACCAACGCGATGTCGTGAGGAGGCAGAACGAAGAACGCGACGTCGTTTAGACCCTGACGAAATCACTGCTGAGCTTTAACGAGTTTCGTAACCGCACAACCGTCCGGACGGCTGGCCGTCCGGACAAAACAAAAGAAAAATGTAACACGCCCTTAAGGCCCCAGGCCTGACCACAAGATTTGCTCAGGGCGGGAGCCGAGTTTCAAAGGTTCATACGGGCCCTGGTGGGCACAAACCCACCAGGTCCCTCTCCTGGTGGAAGTCGAATCCACCAGGACGCGGAGCCGGCGGAAGCTTTCTGCCCGGGGCAAAAAAAACTATTCCCCAGGCCTGACCACAAGATTTGCTCAGGGCGGGAGCCGAGTTTCAAAGGTTCATACGAGCCCTGTCGGAAAAACACGGGCGAATCCGCGACCGCTTCCGCGTGCTCGCGGAAGCGAGCTGCCCGCGGGCAAGAAAAAAACTAAAACCCATCCGGAAGGCATGCGGCTCGGGAGCATCAACCCTAAAATTTTAGGGTTGAGGCTCCCGAACGGCATGCAGGTCGCGATGGGGAATAGTTTTTTTTGCCCCGGGCAGAAAGCTTCCGCCGGCTCCGCGTCCTGGTGGATTCGACTTCCACCAGGGGAGGGACCTGGTGGGTTTGCGCCCACCAGGGCCCGTAGGAACACACCAAGTCGAGGCTTCTAGCGGGATTCATGCCAGACTTCTCGCCGAACCTCAACTAGGAGTCTTCCGTTTGACTCCCTTGTCCAAGTAAGGTTTGGCGGGAAGACCCAACACTCTGCCCGTGGAAATCGATAGACCCGCGCGGTTTGCGGAACCCTTCACAACAAGAACTCTACACTCGCAAGAACAAACTTAAGCTCACCTATTATATACCTTGAACCAGTTGAGAGCAAATGAAGGAAAAAAAAACAAAAAATACCGTCATACCCCGGATATACCCCCATGGGGGGCAATAATAAAACAGTTTTTTTAGGGGGGTGGGCTTATAATTAAGTAAATTTATAAGCGCCGGCGTTTATAAAATGACATATACGTTTTTTATATTTTTTAACACCAAACTGTAGATCTCGTACTTGCCTTTTCAATCGAGTCGAAGTTACATGGGGTCATCTGTGAAATTCTTGCGCGCGCAGGGAGATACACCCAATCTGACTCACATCCAGCTCCTGACAGCTCCTGACAGCTCCTGCTTGTTAGACTCACTAGCTAGGTGAGGAATGATGATTAGGTAAGGGAGAGGGAGTACAAGAGTGTCGAGAGAATTAAGTTGTACCCTCTAAGGGATGACCCCTACACAACCTAGAGTGAAATAGACATAACTCTATGTTTTGACACACCCCCATAGGTGAAGTAGGGGATAGCCAAACCTAACAGTGGTCACAAGACCAGTCAAGCAAGAGAACAAGCAAGACAAAGCCCAGGGTGGATCTCAAGGACACCACACAATCTGAGCACAAGCAGGCGGCCACAAGGCCAGTTCACATGCAGAGTTATAATAGCAAGGCAGTACACTGATCACAACCTAGCAAGAGTAAACATGCAGGTATAAATATATATAGCAGTGTACAACAAGAGCAAGTCAAGCAACCAGCAGGTGAGGTAGAGTGGGCACAAGCCCAAGAGCAGTGCAGAAACGCTGATGATCACCAGCCCCAAGGGCCTTGGTGAAGACATCAGCAGTGTTGGCCAGAGAGGCCACGAAAGTAAGGCGCAGCTGACCACGCTGCTGCAGCTCACGCGCAAGGAAGTAGCGCAGAGCAATGTGCTTCGTTCTGTGCTCCAGTCTCTGCTCGCGACACAAGGCAAGCATTGCCTTGTTGTTGACGTACAGAACCTAAGGAGAACGAGGCCGCTCCCCCAAGTCGGTCAGCAGGTAGGTCAGCCAGCGGAGCTCCTGTGCAGCCATGGCCCCAGCGTAGATCTCGGCCTCACAGCTGGAACCAAGCACAGAAGAAGAACGAGTGGACCTCCACGAGACAGAACCAGACCAAGACTGAAGGTGTAACCCTGTGACGAACGCTGAGTCGCCTGGTCGTCGGCCCAAGAAGCGTCAGAGTGTCCTGTGAGGACCACCGAACCCCGTCCTCCAAGCACGAGCCCCATGCCCGATGTGCTGCACAAGTAACGCAGTACCCTCTTCGCAGCATCAAAGTGCACCTTTCAGTGTCTACCGGGTGCCACGTAGCGAGCCAGAAGGCTCAGAGGGTACGCGAGGTCAGGTCGTGTGCACGTCATCAGGTACATGAGGCAGCCCACAAGCTTTGGGTAAGGACCACTCGGCTCTACGGACTCGTCCGAAGGTGGAGCTGAGAGCGAGTGGCCGGTAGCCAGAGGAGTGGGCTGTGGCGAGGAGTACGTGAAGCGGAAGCGCTGTAGGACCTGGTGCACCATGTGTGACTGAGTCAGGGTGATGGTGCGCCGTGCTCTGTCCCGGGTGATCTGCAAGCCAAGATAGCTGCGCAGTTCACCTAGGTCAGTGCACGTGTGTCTCTCCTACAGCTCCGCCTTCACTAGGGCCAGTGCCTCAGTGTCAGCAGTAGCAAAAACCAAGTCGTCGACATACACGAGGATGTAGAACGGCGGCAGAGTAGTGTCGGTGCGTAGAAACAGCGACGGGTCAGCAGTCGAAGGAGCAAACCCAAGAGCCGCAAGTGTCGTCCTCAGTGTGTCGTGCCACTCGCGGGGTGCCTGACGCAAGCCGTACACTGGTCGCCGTAGGCTCCATTGGGTACCCTCAGGAAACGACCCAGTGAAGCCCTGTGGACGGCGCAGCCAGATAACCTCGTGAAGGCTACCCTGCAAGAAAGCTGTCGAGAAGTCGAGGGAGTGCAGCTCGTAGTCACGCTGAGCTGCAACGTGTAGCAACACCCGAAGAGTGGTCATCTTCGGGGTGGGGGAGAAGGTCTGAAAGAAGTCGACCCCCTCACGCTGACTGAAGCCTCGAGCAACGTAACGTGCCTTGAAGGCAGGCGGAGAACCCGGCGGCCGCTTCACCCTGAAAATCCACATGCCACTGACGATGTTCGCCCCAGGTGGGGGAACCTCGTCGACGTAGGTGCCTGTGGACTTCCAGGAAGCCATCTCTGCATCCATGGCTGTCTGCCACTGAGAGGAGTACTCACCCAAAATCGCCTCCCTGTACGAGCGCGGAGTGGGGATGTCAAGTGCATCCGGGTCTCCCTCAGGGGCAAGCAGCATGGTCGCGTGATGGGGTGAAGCGGCAGCAAGGCACTCCAGCTCCTCCTTTCTGTCCTCAAGAACGTCACAGCCAAGGGCAGTGCAGCCAAGAGCAGTCTCACCCCCGACGGACGGAGGACAGGCAGGGACAGGGTCAAAGACACGACTCGCAAGGTAGTCGAGGCGGTACACAGCAGCAAAGTCAATGAGCTCAGCTACTAGGGCAGACGCAGCAGGAGACGAGAACGTAGGGTCCGTCACAACTGTAGCAAGAAGGCGAGTAACAGTCGGACTGGACGCACGAGCAAGGTCAGACGGAGGGTCAGCAACGTCAGGCAAAGAGGACGCAGGAGGTAACGTTAGGACAACACGCTGAGGAACAGAGGAAGGACGGAGTGTCATATCGTGAGTGCCGGGGACAGCCGGAGCACGCTGACGACGAACACGAGGAACACGAGCACGGACAGCAGCTCTAGGCTCAGGCTCAAGGTCAAAGCTAGACTCAGGCTCTCGACGCTCAGGGGTGGAAGCACGAGTCTCAGGCTTTCGACGCTCAGTCAGGGACTCTGACACCGCAGTGTAAGGAGCAGGAGCAGGCAGTGGGGAGTGTGGTAGCAGCGGCGGCTGTGACTGGTCCGTCGGTGGACACAGCAACGGAGGAGTAGTACCTGCCACAGGGAAGCCAGTAGCACTTGGCTGAAGACTGAGAAGGTGGCGAAGAGCACCAGTAGCTCCACCAGGACCTCCAGCACCTCCAGTACCTCCAGCTCCAGCAGCTCCAGCTCCTTCAGCACCAGCAGCTCTAGCAGCTCCACGACCTCCAGCACCAGCAGTACCTCCAGTACCTCCAACACCAGCAGCTCCACGACCTCCAGCACCAGCAGCACCTCCAGGACCTCCAGCACCAGCAGTACCTCCAGTACCTCCAGCACCAGTAGCTCCAGGTCCTCCGGTAGGAGCTCCGACGACACCAACACCAGAAGGACTCGCAGCACCCCCAGAGTTAGCACCCGAACTCGCAGCACCCCCAGAGGCAGGACCCTCGGTCTCAGCACTCGCAGGCTCAGTACCCTTAGTCGCAGCACCCTCAGGCCCAGTACCCTTAGTCCCAGCACCCCCAGGCTCAGTACCCTCAGTCCCAGCACCTTTAGGCTCAGTACCCTCAGTCCCAGCTCCCCCAGGCTCAGTACCCTCAGTCTCTGCTCCAGTGTCCACAGCAGCAGGCTGCAGAGGCGGCAAAGACGGCAGAGGTGGGAACCCGAGGGGTGTAGCCAGACGAGGAGAGTGGGCACCCCCGAACTCACCACCCCCAGCCCCAGCTCCAGTAGTCTCAGCTCCAGAGTCCACAGTAGCAGGCTGCGGAGGCGGCGAAGACGGCCGTCGCGGGAAACCCGGGGGGGTCTCCAAGCGAGGAGTGCAGCGAGTGGTCGCCGTGTCGTCGGCGACGGCGTCACCCACCTCAGGTGAGTCAGAGGAGTCAGAAGAGATCTCAACTGGCTCATTCAAGGGGGGTGGGTCTACCTGGGATACACCTGAGGGAGCAGGACCCTGTGGGGGAAGGGGGTCTACCGGGGGGGGACTGGTACCAGGAAGAGAGGTGCGAGAGGGACCGGGTGGGACGCGTGCGGGTGAAGTAGGTAGTAACAGACCGACTCGTCAAAGGTGACATCCTGACAGGACAGAATACGACGCGAGGCAGGGTGGTGGAACTGCCAGGGTGGAGCGTCGGTGGGGAAGCCCAGGAAGACACGGCGGAGAGTGCGAGGGGAGAGCTTGCTCGCTTTGGTATCGCGAACAAGGGAGAGCGCGCCCCAGACCCGAAACGACGACGCATCACCAGGCTGTCCCGTCCAACGGAGTGTGGGCGAGGTCTCTGGAGCAGAGACACGGGGCCAGAGGTTGAGCTGATGTGCGACGTATCGGACCGCAAACGGCCACAGGAAATGGGGAGCAACCACATGGATCATGGAGGTACGAGCAACCTCCATGATCAGGCCAATGCGACGCTCAGCGATCCCATTTTGCTGCGGAGAGGCCGGAAGCGTGAACAACTAGGCGATGCCCTCATCCTGTCAGAACGTCTCAAGGACGCCAGAGGAGAACTCATCACCCCTGTCAGAGTGCAGACGCAGGACTGGAAAGTCCCGCCGAAACCGCTCGCGCAGCTGGTGACGAGTAGCACGGATCCAGGGGACCAAGACACCACTGACATCCGCCTTGCGCCGCAAGGGGAAGACTGTGGTGTAGCGTGTGTAGTCGTCAACCACCAGCAGGAAGTAGCGCTCCTGGTCCGTTCCATCGACGGGGGCCGGGCCCCACACGTCCATGTGAAGAGTCTGCAGAGGAGTAGTGGTCGGAGGAAACTCGGAGGAGTGAGGAGCGGCGCGCTGCCGCCCCTCGACGCAAGGAAGGCACGGCGGCGCAAGTGAGAACGGAAGGGGGGGCAGGGTCTCAGGGAGGCCAGTGACCAGGAGCCGGGAGTGCATGCGGCGCAGACGCTGCAGGGAGGGGTGACCAAGACGGTGGTGCCAGCGCTGAGTCTCGTGCGTGAGTACTCGGCACGAGCAAGACGCAGCTAACTGCCCTGACGCAGACGCTCGACTTGACGTAGCTACCTGACCTGACTTAGCCACCTGTGCAGACGCAGTGGTCAGTGTGTACAGACTAGACCCAGGCTGTCGAGTGAACGTAGCCAGGTGACGGCCAGTCCGGGAGCACATACAGATCGCCACACGCTGCCCTCCAGGAATAAAGGTATCAACCCAGACATCCTGAATGGCAGCGTTGCTCACCAAGCTCATCGAGAACGTGGGGAGGTGGAGACCAAACAAAGAGCCGGAGGGAACTGCTAGACAAGGGAGGACCGTGGAGGCTCTCGCAACCACTGGGCCCCCAGAGGGGTCAGCCAGTGAGACTAGGACAGGTGCTGTGAGTGGTGTGACTGTGGTGCAATCACGGAAGAAGCAACGTGACGCGCTGGAGTCAAGCGTGAAAGTGTGCAAGACCTCAGCTGAGGCAGGACCTGTGGTAGTAGACGCACTAGCAACTAGAGCGTCGGTAGACTCACGGGCACCTAGAGCTGCAGCAGACTCACTAGCACCTGGAGTGGCAGCAGACTCACTAACACCTGGAGTGGCAGCAGACTGACTAACACCTGGAGTGGTAGCAGACTCACTAACACCAAGAGCAGCGGTCTTAACAGAACGATAACCTCCACCACCAGGACGACCTCACTGAATAACCCACTCACGAAGCTGCCGAGGGGTGGGGTCGTCCGGGAGAAGCAGTGCCCGCTGCTGTCCACCCCTGGCCGCAGCGACTGCCGCGGAAGTGGCCATGACAGACAGTGACTGTCAGGAGTAGGTCCAGCACCTCCAGCTCCTACAGCGCCAGCAGCACCTCCTGCACTCCCAGCAGCACCTCCTCCACTCCCAGTAGCACAAGTAGCAGCAGCAGCAGCAGTAGTAACAGCAGCAGGGCGGTTCGGTGGGGGTGGGAGGCCGCACCTCCACCACTCCCAGCAGTACTCCCTCCAGTAGTAGCAGTAGCAGGGCGGCTCGGGCAGCAGCAGCAGACCGAGCAGCAGCAGCAGCAGCAGTAGACCGAGTAGCACTAGCTGTAGCAGTAGTAGTTGCAGTAGCAGCAGCAGTGACAGCTCGGGCTGGGCGGCGCGGCTCGGACACAGTGGCAGAGCAGCAGTAGCACTAGCTGTAGCAAGTGCAGTAGTAGGAGCTGCAGCAGTAGCACTAGCTGTAGCAAGTGAAGTAGTAGGAGCTGCAGCAGTATTACTAGCTGTAGCAGCAGTAGCTTCAGTCAGGAGCAGCTGTAGTAAGTGCTGGAGTAGGATCTGCAGCAGTAGCACTAGCTGTAGCAGCCGTAGCTTCAGTCAGTAGCAGCTGTAGCACTTGCCGTAGTAGCAGCAGCAGCAGTAGCACTAGCTGTAGCAGCACTAGCTTCAGTAGCAGTAGCCGTGAGTAGCGCTAGCTGTAACAGGAGTAGCGTCAGTAGCAGCAGCAGTGAGTAGCGCTAGCTGTAGCAGCAGTAGCAAGGAGGAGCAGCTGCAGCAATTAGCAGCAGTAGCAGCAGCAAGGAGGAGCAGCTGCAGCAAGTAGCAGCAGCAGTTGCAGGGCAGTACAGGCGGTAGCAGCACTGTAGCAGCAGTTCAGGCGCAGCAGTGTAGTAGCAGCAACGAGTGCAGCAGTAATACGGGCCACGTGCGGGCCAGGCGCGGGCTGTAAGGGCTGCATGCAGGCCTGGCGCGGGCTTTACGAGCTGGGTGCGGGCCTGGCGTGGGCTGTACGGGCTGCGCGACGGCCTGGCGCGGGCTGTCAGGCTTCGCGACGGGCCTACGCGGGCTGTACGGGCTTCGCGACGGGCCTACGCGGGCTGTACTGGCAGCTAGGGCGTGGTCATGGGGGGTCGCACGTGACTAGGAAGGAAAATCGCGTCTAGGGCAGAAAAAGGAACCGTCTCGCCTAGAGCACGGTTTCGAATTTCGCGTTTCTCCTAGGGGCGCGACTCGGGCAGTAGATCGAAATAGTAGTGGTGGGCCTTTTTAAAAATTCGGTCCTAAGGAGCATTGTGCTCTTAATACCATGTTAGAATCACTAGCTAGGTGAGGAATGATGATTAGGTAAGGGAGAGGGAGTACAAGAGTGTCGAGAGAATTGGGTTGTACCCTCTAAGGGATGACCCCTACACAACCTAGAGTGAAATAGACATAACTCTATGTTTTGACACTACTGACTGGACCCGCATCCAGCGCAGGGTCCGAAGTGAAGGGAACCGAATCTGCAACGCATCCGCCTGCTAAAGTAAAAATCGTTACAGCGTTTTGAACACATTTCAAAGTTTAAAGTTTACGTGCGCCTATAATAAAACAAGTTTTTTCAGGGGGTGCGCTTATAATCGAGCAGGGGATATAAGCACCACACGCTAATTAAAAGCGCCAGGCGCTTATCCGAGGGTGGCGCTTATATCCGGGGTATGACGGTATTACCATGCCCAAAGGTGGGTCAAATACTTGCCTTGCCTTCTACTTTAAAAAGAACTCATTTTAGTATCCTTACCAATATATAGATCAATCGACTTGACGTAATAAGCCTGCCAAGTCGGATGGAGGATGAGGTGAGGGGATAAGCTATGGGGTGGTCTTCTCTTTGATTTGAGTTGCCTAATACTCCTTCCGCACCCAAAACTCCACTCGCATCAGTGATGCAAAATGGTCTGCCGCACTCTTCTCACACTCTCCCTACAAAAGAGGCACGTTCGGTTCGATGCAGACTGCAGAGTTCCAGCGTAGGTGGAAGGCCACGGGTGATCACCGTCTTGGATTGCGTCCGATGAAATGAGGCACATACGGTTCGATGCGGGCTCAAGTGTTCCATCGTAGGCGGAGGTCCACTCGCCCTTATTTTAAGGGCGAACAACTGCTTGGATTGCCTCCAGATGAAATGAGCCATGTGCGAGCTGATGCAGTTGTTGGGCTGGTGGGAGAGGTAGAGGGAGAGGGAGATGGGGGGGGGAAGGTAAGGGGAGAAGGTGGTGGGGCGGGGGAGGGAGGAAGAGGAGGAACATGGGAAAGTGGGTGAGGAATGGGAAGTGGAGAGAACGCACCACATCTTGGCTCGCCAACGCTGCGGCTCCACACCATCCCTCAACCCCCTTCACTTTCACCTGAAGGCCCTCTTTGGTGCCTCCTTGACACTCGTGGCGGGGCACACGGGCACTGGCTCTCCATTTTGGTCAGGTCGGCGCTGATTCAGGTCAGGTGCGTGTGATGAGAGCGGATGGGGAGGGAAAGGGGAGGGAACTAGGAGGAGGGGGGGGGTGTAAGGGGGTGAGAAGGGGGGGAAAGGGAGTGAAAGAGAAGGGGCGGGGGGGATAAGGGGACGGGAATGGGAGGGAAAGGGGGCGGGAAATGGGGGAGAAAGGGAAGGGAAGGGAGGAGAAGTGGAGGGGAAGTGGAGAGAATGCGAGGGGAGGGGGAGGGGAAAGGGAGGGAAAGGGGAGGGGAATGGGGAGTGAAGTGTAAGGAAATGGGACAGGAGGGGGAGTGGAACGGGAGGGGAAGGGGAGGCCAAGGAATCAGGAAGTAGAGGGAAAGGAGAGAGGATGGGGAGGGAACGGGAACGGAGGATAGAATGACGGGGTTGTTGGCTGGTGTATAAAATGAAAGGAACCCGTGCATATGGCACCAGCGCATGATTGTACCCCCCACTCAACCATGCACTGATGCCATATGCCCACCACAATCGCCATTCAAACCCTTGCAGTGCAAACCATGCACATAAATCACACCCCCCCTTGCCTACGCCCACACCCCTCCCTGCTCGCCCCAACACCCTCCTTCCCTGCTCCCTCCCACACATTCCCTCTGCTCGCGCCCACACCCCAACATTGCCCGCGATCACACTGACCTGCTCGATATGGACCGAATTCTGGCCCATACCGGCCCAGCCTGACGCCATAAATTTCGGGCCGCAACTCGGGACACGTCCGGCCCGGAGTGCTGGGCCGGGCCTGCCCGACAATGATAATATTTCGCCCCAGTCCGGCCCACGGCCAGGCCCATGCTCATGTATCATATGTGTCATACCTGATACAGTGCATGCGCATAGCTCCCCTCACTGTAACCCCAAGCCACCACCACCTCGCGTTTCTCCACCACCTCCTGCCCTAGCCACACTCATTTCTACCCAGACCTCTCCCCGACCAGCTGCAACTTGGGGAAGAGCGCAGGTGAGAGCACCTGAAAGCCGAAATGATCTGTCAAAGCATCCTAGTTGAATTGGCCTCCCAGCATCCCAGCATTCCAGCAGCCCAGCAACCCAGCATCCCCAGATGGCTTGGCCTGAATGGATTGATGCACGTGCGAGTCAATACAGTGGCCTAGTTGGTGGGAACTTGGGGAAGGAGGAGGGGGGAAAGAAGGAAGAGAGGGGGTTGAGAGAAGCAGGTGAGAACAAGGGAGTGGGAGGCAAATAAGGAGTGTTGAAGGTCGCAAGGGAGATAAGTCATGGCATGTGCGAGTTGATGCGACTGCTTGTTTAGCTGGGTTGAAAGTTAGGGGGGTTGGGAACTTGAGACACGAAGTGATAATGGTGAGAAGAGGGGGGTGGACAGCTGGTAGGGAAGGGCGACTCTGGCCTTCAACGCTCCCTCACAGGAAGGTCTTCGACGGGAGTTTCAGCAAAGACTCACGTGAAGGCTGGCACGCCTCACTCACCACCATTGCTGGCACGCCTCACTCACCACCATTGCTGGCACGCCTCACTCACCACCATTGCTGGCACGCCTCACTCACCACCATTGCTGGCACGCCTCACTCACCACCGTTGCTGGCACGCCTCACTCACCACCGTTGCTGGCACGCCTCACTCACCACCATTGCTGGCACGCCTCACTCACCACCATTGCTGGCACGCCTCACTCACCACCATTGCTGGCACGCCTCACTCACCACCATTGCTGGCACGCCTCACTCACCACCATTGCTGGCACGCCTCACTCACCACCGTTGCTGGCACGCCTCACTCACCACCGTTGCTGGCACGCCTCACTCACCACCATTGCTGGCACGCCTCACTCACCACCATTGCTGGCACGCCTCACTCACCACCATTGCTGGCACGCCTCACTCACCACCATTGCTGGCACGCCTCACTCACCACCGTTGCTGGCACGCCTCACTCACCACCATTGCTGGCACGCCTCACTCACCACCATTGCTGGCACGCCTCACTCACCACCATTGCTGGCACGCCTCACTCACCACCATTGCTGGCACGCCTCACTCACCACCATTGCTGGCACGCCTCACTCACCACCATTGCTGGCACGCCTCACTCACCACCATTGCTGGCACGCCTCACTCACCACCATTGCTGCTTAACACCACCCCTTTACACCCACCATCAACCCCCATGCACATTGAGCTAAGGTCCTTCTCTGCTGCAGCAAGAGAGAGAGGGCAGAATCAAATAGAAAGGACCGTTTGAGAGCAGAGCCGTGATGCCCTTGACGCTCGTGGCAAAGCAGACGGGCGCTGGCTGTCGATCTTGGAGTGCTCAGACAGAGCTGATTCAGGTGAATGTGATGAGAGGGGGTGGGGAGGGCAAGGGGAGGGAACGAGGAAGGGAGGGGGAGGGTAAGGGGACGGGAAGGGGAGGGAAAGGGGAGGGTGTGGGGATGGGAACGTGAGGCGAAGGGGTGGTGAAGGGGAGGGAAAGTGGAGAGAAATGGGAGGTGAAGGGGAGGGAAAGGGGAGGAAAAACGAAGGGAAATGGGAGGGGAGGGGGGGGTGGGAGATATGAAGGCGAACAGAAGGGTTGGCAAAGGGGAAAGGAGAGGGGAAGGGAAGGGAACGAGGACGGGGAAATGAGGGGAACGGGGTTGTTAGCTGGTGTATGAAATGAGAAGGAATGTACCTTCCACACAACCATGCATGGGTACCATATGGCCAGCACAATCGCCATGCAAAAACCATTCATGGAAAATTGCGCACACAAATAACATGCACCATGCGCATCCATACACCACCATGCACACACCATGCACACACCACACCATACATGCACACTCCGTGCAGATGCACGCACCGCTCTCACCCACCCACCCACCCACCTACCCATGCCCATACGCACACAGCACCCAGCCATCCACCCACCCTGCTCACCATGCATGAGGATGCGGGATCTTGGCGTCACTTGCCACCTGTGCTGCCTCCTTGCCTCCCCATCAGCTGATCTTCTTTCCTCAGTGACTCCGCCAGGTTGTGCCATGTGCCCACCAGCGCACTGCCAGCACCAGTGGGGCAGGAGCTGCAGAGGGGGGAAGGGAGTGCGGGAAGGAAGGACCCGCGGGGCAGGGGAGGGGGCACGAAAGCAGGCCAGGAAGGGATGCATTGCAGACATGAGCATACAAACATGTTGTCTGCTCCGAAGCACATTAGCTGGGCGTGAAAGAGAGGAAGACGGGAGGAAGGAGGATCCGAAAGCAGGCAGGGACAGCAATTGAGGCAAGCAGTCATGGAGCCACAAACAAACTGTCAGCTTTGACGCACAATAGCAGAGTGTGAATGAGGAGAACGGATAGGAAAGACGGGAGGGAGGAGGGGGTATGTAAAGGAACAAGAAGGCATCGCAGCAACAGTCATTTGCTTCTCAACACATAGGACACATCACATGTAGCCTAGCCCGATGCCAGAAAGCCCGGGGCACGTCCGGGCCAGAGTGCCGGATCAGGCTGGCCCACGTAAATAACTCAGCCCAGCTGGGCCCACCACCCTCCTGTTGTACCAACACCCATTTCCCCCCAGGCCTCTACCCGTCTGGCTGGAACTTGTCGGGTGAGACGCACCCGAACCCATGGCGTGCTAAAAGGCCGATGTGGATTTGAAGGGGTACCGGAGGAGATGCAGGGGTGCGCATGGGCAGCCTTGCAGGAGCTGTCGTGTAGGATCCAGCAGGCTCGGAAGATCCCGAAGCGGGTGGCGCATTGGCAGGACCTTTCCTGTGGGCTGTCCTTAAAAATCCTTGGCGGAAACCACTGCAAGATGCGAGCAACCCGATAGGTGAGCAGCCCAACAACTGGGTCAGTGTTCACAGGCACGAGATCAGAGCCGAAAACACCATTAGAATTGCTGCTGCGAGCAGAACAGCCTGCTCTCACCGATCGCCGTGCTATTCCCTCTCCCTCGTTCACCACTGTTCCCAGCCCTTTCTGCATTGCACTCTCTGCTGTCTCAGCCTCCCCCGGGCCTCCTGAATGGTTGCCTCCTCAACCCCGTTGCCATATGCACTCCTACCCCCTGCAAAGAACATTGCTCCCAGCTTGCGGTGCTCTGGTCTGGAAAAAACTGAGGCGACTGCCAGGGCGAAGTCAGTGGCACCCACACCACTCACATACATGCCCTTGGGAATACCCCTGCCTTTTGTTCCGCTGCTGTCACCACTACTGTTGCTGCTGATGGTGCTGCTTCTGCTACTACTACTACTGCTGCGGGTGCTACTCCTGCTGCTGCTGCCCCCCTCACTGCAGTGGCTGCACCTGAACTCCCTCCCTTCCCCCCCTCCACGTTCCAAAATCCAAGCCATACCATCCACATACCTCTTCCACACACTCCCCTTCAAATGCCCCGTCCACTGCACACCCTTCAAATCCCCCTCACCATCTCCGCCGCCCCTCTCCACCCCCGCACTACCACCATGCGTAGCCAGTTTCACAGGCCTCGCCAGGGCACCTGCACTTGCATCATTCCCTGCACCTTCACGTGCTCCCCCCCTCCCCTCAGCATGCGCCTTCTCCAGCCCGCCCGAGAGCACATGCTGCACAAAGAATCCAAACCCTTCCTTCAGTCAGCACTCTCCTTCACCCCCAGCACCTGCACCAGCATGGAAGCCGCACAGTCCTGCTCTTCCTGCCTGCCCGCCCTCAGCTGGGCCACTATGGCCGGGTACACCGCATCAAAGGTATTCACTTGCGCTGTCCATAGCGTGTCGATTCGAGGCCACCTCGCCACAAGCACGAGGAAGGCAGCGAAGCTGACAGCACGACGGTCAGCAGCCCAGCAGCTGCTGCAGCGCCAGCAACAGGACCATGTTGCAGCAGAAGCTGCGGCAGGAGCAGCTGTTGCCAGTTCAGCAGCAGAATTCTCAACAGAACCACCGTTGGTGAGAATGGCAGGTAGGCGGGATCTGAGCACGCCCACACGAGGCTCAGCCATCCACTCGAGAATCATCACTTCCGCACAGACGAACGGTGCAAGAGCACACTTGCAGGAGAACTGCTCATGAGGGGGTGTAAAAGCCCTTGGCTTCCCAAACGCCACCTGCACCCTAGTGGAATACTGCACCACACTCTGTAAGGAGCCAGTACTGTTGACCCTGTTGCGTGGTGCAAGGGGGATGGAGACAGGCTGCTGCTTGTGCAGGAGGTGTCGAAAGAGCTCAAGATTCTCCATGGTGATAGCACGCTCCCCCTGGAGGCTCACTGCCCGGTCGAAGCAACACTCGCACTTAGCCGCGTCCCACCCGCCACTCACGTCCAGGTAGTGAACCATATCCGTCCGAGATAGCAACTGAAGCTTCTCAGGCCGCTCCTGACCTCCCACTCTCCTTGGACCCCCGGCGTCCCCCGCAGATGCCTTGTGGGGTCCAACTGCCTGCTATAAGAGACCCCACCGCCCCATCACCTCGAGGCGCTGATGCCAAATGGCATCCTTCAGTTCAAAAAGGCCGGTCGGACAAGTTTCAACAGGATTCAAGGGCGTTTCCCTTCCTCCTACACCACTCCCTGATGTGTTTCCGCTCAGCGTCATGTACTTCTCGCCCTCCTCGTCGTCGCTGCTGGAGTCGATGTGGTCCCACTTGCTGTAATCAATCCCACGATGCCTTATGACTGTAGCAGCAGGTGTGGCAGCAGGTGCGGCAGCAAATGCGACAGCAGCAGCAGGCGCGGCAGCTGCAGTAGGTGCAGCAGCAGCAGTGGGTTGCGCAGCAGCAGCTTGAGCTGCAGGAGCAGCAACAACAGGACGCACAGCAACAACTGGTGCAGCATGAGGGAGAGCAGCAGCAACAGGAGGCACCTCAGCAGCAACCGTGGCAGCAGGAACAGCAGGAACAGCGGCAACAACCGGAGGCAAAATCGCAACAGGCGGAGCAATAGGGGCCCTTATCGCTGATCAGCGTGAAGGCCCCTATCAGCCCCGTCCTTGCGTTTCCCCACTTCACATCCAGTCACTGCCTTCACGGGAAGCACTCTAATGGTGGAACCTGATTTCAGCTTCGCTTGCGCCACGGTGCATTCAGGTGAGAGGTACACCACCTGGCCTACCACCATGAACCAGACTGGCTGCGTCCCACGCACCGACTCAATTTCCTCAACGGCTTCCACGCTATCGTCACCTTCCTGTTGCACATGACATGCATCGCGCAGAGACTCGTTCGCGGTTCCCGCCAATGGCGGCCGCGGCGGCGCCTGGCGTGCATCGCAGGGCAGGCAGCAGACAGGTAGATGCGACTGGAACAATCTGTTGAAGACCGATCGGAGAGGCTCGTCGTCGGAAGAGACAACGACGTGAATGTCCACGTGGGACGAGGCCGATGGTTTATTGTCCCCTGAACGGTTGTCGTTGATTCGAGAGTCACCGTTATAATGGTTGTGGGACCTGCTTTGAATTAGGCATCCGGGAATGCGGAATCGAACCTGAAAAGCCATGGCTCCATGTACCCGCCGTGGCTAAATAGACTTGCTGGCCACTACTCTAACTTTGTTCGCCATTTGTGCTTTCGCTGCTAAGGAATGTCAATAAGCTTATGGGACTATCTCGAATCTCAGTCTTCTGCAAAGAAGTGTGAACGTGAGAGCTGAACACGTCCCTAATGAAAGAAGGTAGCTGTTGCCGTCAAATGCGCTGGCTGGACGGAGAGGTGAACTCAACACAACCAAAATGACTAGCGGTAAAATTGCTCTTTAGAGGTCAAATTCATTCGCATTCATGGTGTACCCAGGTTCGGGTATCTCACTTTTAAAGTCGACCATGTTGTCGCCGTTGGCAAAAGATATAGTCGACCAAAATGGTCGACCAAATTCCAGCCAAATCACCTTGTAACGGATTTGACGCACCCTTACCTGCTGTAATGTTTCGCCAATTCGTCAAGCTCCCCAGAGGTGGTTTGGCTGCACGTTATGGGTGCAGAAGCCTGGCGAAAGGCTTGTTACGGATACTTTTCTCGTCAGTCAGTCTTCTTGTGCGCCTTGCCTTTCCTTTCCCACCCCACCTGCCTTCCCTTCCCCACTCCACCACGCTCTTTTCCGTTGCGTAAGGGCGGGTCAGGTAGGTTGCGTTTTCACAATTTTTTCATTTCAGTTACCCGAGTTGAGTGCGTAACTGTACTTTTTATGCATTTTCTAATCGCGGACACGAAACGAACAGTGAGTCGGTTCAGGATGAAAACGTCCTGGATAGTTTGGTGGTTACGACTTCAGGTTCATGCCAGAAACGTGCGGCAGTTCACAATTTGTCCAGCAAAGGCTAGACTAACAAACCGTTTTCGCCTAAACGACTTCGCTCTCTTCGCCTTTTCCGCCCGCTCGCCAAATCTTGCCTCCCTATTGCCAATGCAGTATGGGTGGCGTGTGTGCTGTTCGCGCCATTGATTCGCGAGAAAGTGGTAACTACTTTTCAGGCAGGGGGTGGTTGTGTGCATGAACTGATCTGTGTCAGAACGCGCTTCACGTCATGACTAGTTTGACTCGAAGTGTACATAAAACACTTTTCGGTACAGTCAGAGAAATTGAAACAACATGCGTTATTTTTACGGAAACGGCTGAAACGCAACCTACCTGACCCGCCCTAAAGTGCTTACCAGGAGAACAGATGCGTGTGACGCGCAACTGTCGGCACTGCTATAATTGGGATGCCGCGTCGCGCATAGGGTTTAAATATTCCGCGTGCAATTCTGTTTCTAAAATCCCTCGTCGCGCATAGGTCAACGATCTTTTAGACGACGTCCTCGTAGAAAACTTCCGCCGCTTTAAAGAACCATACATCCCGCCAATCCACAAACTCTATTGATTCGTCGCGATCCGTCCTCCTAGGCCAGAATAGTACACCTCCGAAAACCCGTATGGCAAAGAGCTCCGGACCTCCAAGGCTCCTTGCGACGATTGTCGCTGCATCAGCAATACTACGCCCATCGCTAGTAGATCGTTAACTGCTCCGGCCTACCATCTCCTCATCACCTCCATGTACTCGCGCTGGCGTTGCCTGACTCGAAGGCAGGTCGCCATGCCATCATCGTCGTTCCGCTCCCAGATCTCACAGCTGCCGTCGCGTGCTTCCCGAGTCTCTGCCATGAGCATCCTAGCTTGGAGACCATCGCTCACCTCGCTCGTCTCCCGGCCTTTGCAGACCATCAACGACACACGCCACGTCCAGCAAGCATATAACGCCTCGCTGCCCGCTGGGGTAAAACGAGGGTGTTACGGAGGCGCGGTGGATGGCCTTCAACCCAGGTGTAAGCCCGAGGCGTTACTACACGCACGACTGGCCGTCAGTCACCTTCCCGCGAATCTCATGCGCACGCCGGTCCCAAGCTGCCGTTGCTGGCTAACGTGCTGCTGCACGTCATACCGTGGGGGAAGGCACCTATGCTGCCTATACGCACAGCACTGTTGCTGTTTAGCGTTCTGCTGCGTGTAGGATAGTGATGCAATGGAATGCTGCGGTGGTGGGAGTATTTGGACTCCACATGGCAGCAGCGGCACGGGTTTCAGGCTTTCAGCAGTGGCCGCAACTATAGAAGCGGCAGCAACGATAGAAGCGGCAGTGGCAGCAGAGGCAGCGGCGACAACAGCCCGTCGCTGGCAGGGGTGAAGCATATCGTGGCTGTGGTGTCCGCGTGGCATCGGCAAGTCCACCACTGCTGGTGCGCCTCATAACCTCGCCACCTCGCCGCCTCCCTGCGTCCCCACTTTACTGTCTCACAGCCTCTCTTCTACGCATGCCAGATCCCACACACGCATTGCCCACCTCTGCCTCCTTCCGTTCACGCACCACTCGCCCTATCCCTTTCAACCCGTTTTCCCCCCATGCACCTCACCCCGTTCCTCCCCTTAAATGCCTCTTCCCCAGTGCCCCTCACCCTCACCCCGCACCTCTCACTCCATGGCTCTAATCGCATGCCCATCTTCCCTTATCCCCCTCTCCCCGGGTCCCCCTCATCCCCCCATCCCACATTCCCTCCATCCTTCTTCCCCCATCCCCTATTCCTCCTCCCTCCTCTCATTCCCATCTTCCCTTTCCCCCTGTAACCCCCCTTCCCCCACAGTGAACGTGGCAGTGACGCTCGCCCACCACGTGCGCCTGGTGGTGGGGCTGCTGGGCGCCTATCTCTTCGGATGCCCCGCCCCACTCTCCCTCTCTCGTGCTCGCCTCGCCCACTTCCTCCCCCCTTCTCCCCCCCCCCTCCCCACGTGCACATGCTGCCGTTGCAGGCGCACGGCGTGCTCTGCATGTCCATGGGCTTTCCTCGTGGACTTCATCATGCCTGCTCATGTGGCCACCGTGTGGCGCCGGCCCATGGTGATGGCGACGGTGGAGAAGCTGGTAAAGGGGACGGAGTGGGGGCGGCTTGACGTGCTGCTTGGCACGGGCTACATGGAGCTCAACTTGAGCCACAAGTTCCGACTGTCAGGTGCGTGGCAGATGGGATGGGATGGGTCGGGATTTGATGGGGTGAGGCCAGCACCATGGGAGGAAGGAAGGGGCGCTAGGGGTGGGTGGTTGCATTTGCTGGTGGTGGCCGTATTGCGTATTGTTTTTGCTAGTGACTCATGATGGTGTGGTTTAAAGTAGTCATGCAGGATAACCACACTTCACCTCATTTCCCAAAGCGTGCACGAAGTTGTTGAACATGCATTAGGGCGGTAACCGCCGAACAAAGGTCCGATGTCTCGGGATGTTAATGGGCAGCCCATCCTGAACGCCATGGCGTCGTGGCAAACCGGTCGGGCTAAAGCGAAGGCATTGTTGTTTCTCCATCCCTCTATTGTTTTTCAGACAACACATGCTATTTCCATAACAGGAGCAGCAGGAGCCACAGGTGAGGAGGCGGCGGTGGGAGGGCAGCATCAGGGTGAGCAGGTGGAGGGGGAGCAGGAGGGGGTTTTGATGGATTATGACACGGCTGACCATCATCCACAGCACGAGGTGAGCCACGCAGCCGCGTACTGTGGGTGGTGGTCAGCCGCGTCATAATCCATCAAAACACCCCCCTGCTCCCCTTCCGCCTGCTCGCTCTGCTGCCGCCCTCCCACCACCGCCTCCTTGTCTGTGGCTCCTGCTGTTCCTGTTATGGAAATAGCATGTGTTGTCTGAAAAACAAGAGAGGGATGGAGGGGAAGCAGGGGAACTCAAAAGAGTCCCAGCAGCAGGCGAATAATGGCGAAGGGTTAAGCTAGGGAGGGAGGTGGGATGGGTGGGAGTAAGTGGAGTGCGATTGGATCAGCCAGTGTCTGGCAGGGGGACGGACGAGCGGTTGAACTGCACCTGCCACTCGTTCACTGAGGCGCTCAAACGATGCATTGCGCAGAGGATGCATCGAAGAAAGGATGAGCGGATGGGAGGCAGTGCGGCACAGTCCGTTGCATGCAGGCCATTGAGTGACGTTGTGGAACGTGCAGACAATGGTTGAAATGCATTGTGTTCGATATGTTCATATGTTTATGGATGCAGTAGGTGGTAATTTTGTGACGTCATGAAGGTGGCAGGCAAAGCTAGAATGAATATTTGGCATGCCATGATGCCACGGCCCACATTGCAAGGAATAAAGCAACCTTCCATTTATGAGCGAATGCTTGCAATCACAGTTGTCATACTCGTTTATTCTGTGTACCCTTCATGTCTCGCGTACAGGTATATGAAATGTTGGTTCAAATATTCTTAGTAAGATCACCTCTAAATATATTGTTGTGGACTAAAGAAACCCAGAGTACCGGTAACTCACTGAACCGTTTTCAGCACCACATTCGGACGATGCCCTTCAGGCGCCATGCGTCAACAATCCCGCAATAGGCGATTTCTGGAATTGAACGTCCAAGTGCACCGTATTCCACCATTTATGACCGCCCGATTTTTTCTTACCGAAGCTTTTTCTTAGGACAGCATTTTCGAAGTCATCTTGAACCGAGCCGAGATGCCCCGCGCGTTTAGGGATCTCACTCACACCAGGCACTCATTCACAATTGCTCCTCCAGCAACACAGCAGGCATTCCCGCTTCAGCCATGGCAACTTCTAAGTTGGCCCCACCGCAACATTCAAAGCCGTCTCAAGACGACAGGTCACAACAGCAGACGCATCGCGCTGAAAAATGTAATATCAACCGATTATACTTATCTCAAAACGGACGCTCGGATCGCGATTTTTTTACTGGACATGATCTCTCATTCCATGGCAACGGAACGAGCCCATACAGCACCTCCGAGGTCCTGGGATCTTCAGGCTATGCGATGAGAGAGAATCTTCCAGCATTTTTTAAACCAATCAGACTGCATGATTTGACTGGATGGGTCCATGCTCTTCCAGAAACGATGGTTCGGTGACGAATCCGCCGTCGATTCGGGCAGTGACACAGCGTCGCATAGCGTCACATGCAGCGTTCTGGTTATGGCAACATCCGATCGCTCTCGTAGCCCCATCTTTACCACGGCGATCACAGAGTCTCGTTGGACTTCATTTGTCGACCGGATAGCTTCAAACAATAAGCACAATCGACTACAATCTGTAGCATCCGATATGACTTTCGAGGTTACGTTCAGGGTTCCAGCTGATCTGACGATCCGTGGGTCTTGCGACCGTACTACGAATACTAGCAGTGGCGAGTCGCAGATTGCGTCAAGGTTGAAGTCGTCGATCGCTTGAGTGACAAGAATCCAGCCGACTGCATCACACGTGGACACTTCACTTAATGTAACTCCTGACGAACTTCTGTTATTGGTTTAGCAGACTGGTTCAGTCTCACCTGCCCAACTGTTGCCTGCCTCACGAGACACATCAGCTCGGGGGAGGTCATGCTGCTGAATTCAGAGCGGTAGAGCAGGACTTTGTGAATCGGAAGCAGCAAGTCTGTTTCACGATGCTTGGGAAGCAAGAGCGCCTTTCTCCTGACTTGACCGTTGAGCAAGCCAAGCTTAGCGCGGGTACAACCATCAGCGTGGCGTCCTTGGAAACAGTTCTTCGAAATAGAGGAGACCAGGATGAGGAGAGAGTTGACGGATTTGAGAATGATTCAACTTCTTCATCTGCAACTGCAGATTCTTGCCTTTCTGGCTGTCTTCCTACTACTACGTGTGCTTCTGTGGCTGCTGCTTTTACTATCGAATTGGACCATATCGAGCCTAGCAGTAAGGAAGACGACGGGCTGGAGCCGAAAAGAGGAGCCCTGAAAGGGATCGGCGGAGGAGTAGAGCTGAAGTGTTGTGATTCTGATGCTGCTGGTAGCAAGGAAAAGGATGAGAGAGAGGAAGATGCTGCTGTGGAAAAAGCACGCTCATCACAGTTCGTTCATAGTTTGGACGAGTGGCTGAGAGCTCTTGAGGCGTTGCAGTGGGCACTTCAAACTGAAACGGCTGGACCAGGACAGTCCACTGGGACAGGCGGAGGGGCAGCACAGCAAGCGGGAGAGGAAGAGGAGCAGGAAGAGGAAGAAGACGAGGAGTATGCTGTGAAATATGCACGCTGGTTGAAGTCCGCTGAGGAGTTGGAGTGGCGGCAGAAAACGACTAGGATGATGCAGTGGGCACTCCGTTCTGCATTCCCAAACGATCAGGGTGGAGCGGGTCAGCCCACTGGGGCGAGCAGAGGGGCAACAGAGAAAGGCAGAGGCGAGGGCAGTGCAGAGCCACTTCAGCTGCTGTCTGAAGCGGATATGATTCACTACTTGGACGTGATGAGCGGGTGGAATGAGGATCTCTGCAAGTGCTGGTTTGACCGTGCAGTGAGCCAGCGAGCATGGAGGGCACTTTCCATCAAGAACCTGGAGGACTTTCGTTGCCACCTGCGAAAGCAGCAGCCTCGTTGCATCCTCGCTGCAGATCCCGACCAACAGCACTGGGCCCATTACGAGTACTCCAAAGGGGCAGCGGTGAAGGCGTTACAAGAGGGGCGTAGAATCCCGCCTGAGGAGCAGTTTGCATGGAAGGCTGTGAGGGCGCCTGGCGTCTGTGCGGAATCCATGCTTCTCGAGTGGATGGCTGAGCCTCGGGTGGGTGTGCTCATGGACCTTAAGAAAATCAGATCAAGGCTGCCTGGTATGTTAGAAGGGACAAGTGCTTCAAGAGATGACTCATCGTCTCCTGTTGTTGCTGCTGCCCCATTGGATGCTGCAGCGTGGTCTTGTTGCTGGCGCTGCAGCAGCTGCTGGGCTGCCTACCGCCGTGCTGCCAGCTTCTCAACGTTCCTTGTGCTTGTGGCGAGATCTTCCCGTTTTGTGACTCTGTGGAGAGCTCACTTGGACTTGTACTCATCTGCCTGGCCAACGATTGTTACTGAGTTGGGGGCTGTCAGGCAGGGGGGGCATGACAATTTAGCTTCCATGCTGGTGCAGGTGCTGGGGGTGAAGGAGAGTGCTGACTGAAGGAAGGGTTTGGATTCTTTGTGCAGCATGTGCTCTCGGGCGGGCTGGAGAAGGCGCATGCTGAGGGGAGGGGGGGAGCTGGGGAGACGCATGGGGAGGGGAAGGGCAGTTGGGAGGCGTCATTTAGGAAAGACAATGGGAGACGGAGAGAGGAAGAGGCAGGCAACAAGGTAGAGATTGAAAGGGTTGTTGGCAAGTGCAAGGGGGGCAGAAAAGACTTGAGCTGGAGGGAGCATCTGAAGGGGCGTGTCTGGGAGAAGTATGTGGATGGCATGGCTTGGATTTTGGAGCATGGCGGGGGGGAAGGGAGGGAGTTCAGTTGCATTCACTGCAGTGACGGCAGTGGTGGCAGAAACAGCAGCAGCAGCAGCAGCTGTGGTGGCAGTGGTGGCGATGACAATGGAAGTAGAAGAAGTAGCAGCAGCGGCAGCAGTTCTGGCAGGAGCAGCAAGTGCAGCAGTGCTCCGATGGGTATGCATGTGAGTGGTGTAAATGCGACTGATTTTGCCCTTGCTGTGACCACAATTATATCTAGACCAGAGCATTGGAAGAATGCAGAGCTGTTGATTCATGTTGGAAGCACTTCGAGCAAGATGCAGGTAGAGAATGCAGCTATTCAGGTGGCTAGGAGGTGCCTGCTGCATCGATTGAAGCAGATGAGGGGTGTGGATGCAGAAGCAGGAGCAGCTGTAGGAGGATCGCCGCCTGCTACTGCTACTGCAAGCATTGATATGAATAGAAAACTCGTGTCTGTCAGTAGTCTTGTGCCTGTCAATACGAACTCTGTGGTTGCTGCGCTCACCTATCGGGTCGGTTGCATATTGCAGTGGGTCTGAGTCTACGGCTCTGATTCCATCTCGGAGAAGCATTGCTTCACGGAGCAAGGCCCTCAGAGCAAGGTCCTGCCCATGCGCCACCCGCTTCGGGATCTTCCGAGCCTTCTGGTTAGATATGACGCCGTCCCCAGGCCTCTGGAGAGAAGCAACGATCCTCTGGTGTGGGAGGAATGGCCTGCGGGCGACGAAGATGCAGTGAAGTTTCCTGTAAACCGGAAGGAGAGGTGTTTTGGGCTTGGGATTGTGGAGGAGCGTGGTGAAGCAGCCGGAAAGCTGACTGAGCACCCTTCGCAGCACACATCCGAAGCAGGAAGGGGCAGCAGGCGTGCAAAGGAAGAAGGATCTAATGGAGAAGGCCAAGGAAGCCAGGAAGGCGAATGGAGCATTGCGCGTGGGATAGCTGAAGCGGGAGGGGGCAGCAGGAGTGCAAGGAGGAAAGTCACGAAGGCAATAGAGAAAGGAGCTTGGGAGGAAGTCATAAAGAGCAGAGCGCGTGAAAGAGCCGAAGCATCTCGGAATGACGAGGTGAGAGTAACGCTACCACCCCCAAGAAGAAAGCTTCCCATCGTTCGCTGCCAGGCAGATGTGGACTTTCTGTTGGGGTTCGCCGGGTATGCGATGGACCCTCCCGCATGCACCCACTGCCGCACCTGTGCCTCCGAGTACAAGCATCATGTGTGCACCGTTGCTCTCATCGCCAACTTCGCCTACCGCCCCGTCAGCCATCTGTTCTCCCGTGTGCTGTCGGTCTTCCCGCCGTCCTCCCCTGGCTTTGACGAGGTCGTTGCGTGCTTGGACCTTCCGGCTCGCCTCCCCAGGCCCTTGAACCTGCATATGCTGCTCAGGCGCGCCGAGCAGGTGCCTCTGTACGTTCTGATTCACATGGCAGCGAGCTTCGCTCATTATCTTTTGGGGACTGACGAGATCAAGAATGGGAGCAGTGGGAGAGGGCACGTGGAGCAGTGCAAGGTGCAAGGCCGCTGGGATGGTGAGGCGGATCAGGAGAACGGTGGAGAGGTGTGGGAGGAGGTGCGGATGTGGTATTTTGCAGCAATCGCTGCATGGATGTTCAATGCAGGGAGCGGCGGAGTGAGCGAGGATTGCAGAGGTGGCCGGAAGCGGGAGAGAACGGCAGATAAGTGTGACTTTTTGTGTATTCTTGAGGCAGCTATCACACCAAGGTACTGTGAGGGGTTGCAGGAGCAGCGTGGGTCTGCCAAGGGTAGCAACAGTACTGCCAGCAGCAGCAGTTTTTGGAGGGATGGCAGCAGCAGCTTCAGCAAGCGGATTGGCAAGCAGCGAGGGGAGCCAGCGTATGTGAAGGCATGGCCGGGGGGAGTCAATCTGGTGGCGTGTCTGCGAGAGATGCTGCTGGGGGAGCCGTGCTACCGCCCTGCCTCCGCCGCTGCCCCTTCCATCCCTGCTGCTGTGAGCATCCATGCTGCTGCTGATGCTCCAGACGTGCAACGCCGTGTGTGTAGTACGGGGTGTGGGAGGGTGGAGGGTGGTGGTGTGAAGCTGAAGAGCTGTGGTGGGTGTGGCAAGGTGGCGTATTGCAGCAGAGAGTGCCAAAAGGCGCACTGGCCCTCCCACAAGCTCACATGCCCCGGCAGGAGCAATGGGAAGAGGAGTGGGAAGAACAGTAGCAAGGTGGGTGGGTGGGAATGGGAGTGGCAATGTGGGCGGCAATGTGAGTGAGTAGTAATAAGAGTGGCAATGTGAGTGGCAGGAGGGAGATGAAGTGAGGGAGGGAGTGGCAGGAGGGAGGTGATATTTGAGTCGAATCTAAAGCTGTGATCTACATGCCACGAATTCCAATGTTTCACACAGATTCTCATTGGCAAGTGTGGCAAGAGCGAAGTATGGGCCATGTGATTGGGTGACGACCCTTGAGGTGTCATGTGATTGGGTGACGACCCTTGAGGTGCCATGTGATTGGGTGACGACCCTTGAGGTGCCATGTGATTGGGTGACGACCCTTGAGGTGCCATGTGATTGGGTGACGACCCTTGAGGTGCCATGTGATTGGGTGACGACCCTTGAGGTGCCATGTGATTGGGTGACGACCCTTGAGGTGCCATGTGATTGGGTGACGACCCTTGAGGTGTCATGTGATTGGTTGACGACCCTTGAGGTGCCATGTGATTGGGTGACGACCCTTGAGGTGCCATGTGATTGGTGACGACCCTTGAGGTGTCATGTGATTGGGTGACGACCCTTGAGGTGCCATCTGATTGGATGACGACCCTTGAGGTGCCATGTGATTGGGTGACGACCCTTGAGGTGCCATGTGATTGGGTGACGACCCTTGAGGTGCCATGTGATTGGGTGACGACCCTTGAGGTGCCATGTGATTGGTGACGACCCTTGAGGTGCCATGTGATTGGTGACGACCCTTGAGGTGCCATGTGATTGGGTGACGACCCTTGAGGTGCCATGTGATTGGGTGACGACCCTTGAGGTGCCCTGTGATTGGGTGACGACCCTTGAGGTGCCATGTGATTGGGTGACGACCCTTGAGGTGCCATGTGATTGGTGACGACCCTTGAGGTGCCATGTGATTGGTGACGACCCTTGAGGTGCCATGTGATTGGGTGACGACCCTTGAGGTGCCATGTGATTGGTGACGACCCTTGAGGTGCCATGTGATTGGGTGACGACCCTTGAGGTGCCATGTGATTGGGTGACGACCCTTGAGGTGCCATGTGATTGGGTGACGACCCTTGAGGTGCCATGTGATTGGTGACGACCCTTGAGGTGCCATGTGATTGGTGACGACCCTTGAGGTGCCATGTGATTGGTGACGACCCTTGAGGTGCCATGTGATTGGGTGACGACCCTTGAGGTGTCATGTGATTGGGTGACGACCCTTGAGGTGCCATGTGATTGTGTGACGACCCTTGAGGTGCCATGTGATTGGGTGACGACCCTTGAGGTGCCCTGTGATTGGTGACGACCCTTGAGGTGCCATGTGATTGGGTGACGACCCTTGAGGTGCCATGTGATTGGTGACGACCCTTGAGGTGCCATGTGATTGGTGACGACCCTTGAGGTGCCATGTGATTGGTGACGACCCTTGAGGTGCCATGTGATTGGTGACGACCCTTGAGGTGCCATGTGATTGGGTGACGACCCTTGAGGTGTCATGTGATTGGGTGACGACCCTTGAGGTGCCATGTGATTGGTGACGACACTTGAGGTGCCATGTGATTGGTGACGACCCTTGAGGTGCCATGTGATTGGGTGACGACCCTTGAGGTGCCCTGTGATTGGTGACGACCCTTGAGGTGCCATGTGATTGGTGACGACCCTTGAGGTGCCATGTGATTGGTGACGACCCTTGAGGTGCCATGTGATTGGGTGACGATCCTTGAGGTGCCATGTGATTGGTGACGACCCTTGAGGTGCCATGTGATTGGGTGACGACCCTTGAGGTGCCATGTGATTGGGTGACGACCCTTGAGGTGCCATGTGATTGGTGACGACCCTTGAGGTGTCATGTGATTGGGTGACGACCCTTGAGGTGCCATCTGATTGGATGACGACCCTTGAGGTGCCATGTGATTGGGTGACGACCCTTGAGGTGCCATGTGATTGGGTGACGACCCTTGAGGTGCCATGTGATTGGGTGACGACCCTTGAGGTGCCATGTGATTGGTGACGACCCTTGAGGTGCCATGTGATTGGTGACGACCCTTGAGGTGCCATGTGATTGGGTGACGACCCTTGAGGTGCCATGTGATTGGGTGACGACCCTTGAGGTGCCCTGTGATTGGGTGACGACCCTTGAGGTGCCATGTGATTGGGTGACGACCCTTGAGGTGCCATGTGATTGGTGACGACCCTTGAGGTGCCATGTGATTGGTGACGACCCTTGAGGTGCCATGTGATTGGGTGACGACCCTTGAGGTGCCATGTGATTGGTGACGACCCTTGAGGTGCCATGTGATTGGGTGACGACCCTTGAGGTGCCATGTGATTGGGTGACGACCCTTGAGGTGCCATGTGATTGGGTGACGACCCTTGAGGTGCCATGTGATTGGTGACGACCCTTGAGGTGCCATGTGATTGGTGACGACCCTTGAGGTGCCATGTGATTGGTGACGACCCTTGAGGTGCCATGTGATTGGGTGACGACCCTTGAGGTGTCATGTGATTGGGTGACGACCCTTGAGGTGCCATGTGATTGGGTGACGACCCTTGAGGTGCCATGTGATTGTGTGACGACCCTTGAGGTGCCATGTGATTGGGTGACGACCCTTGAGGTGCCCTGTGATTGGTGACGACCCTTGAGGTGCCATGTGATTGGGTGACGACCCTTGAGGTGCCATGTGATTGGTGACGACCCTTGAGGTGCCATGTGATTGGTGACGACCCTTGAGGTGCCATGTGATTGGTGACGACCCTTGAGGTGCCATGTGATTGGTGACGACCCTTGAGGTGCCATGTGATTGGGTGACGACCCTTGAGGTGTCATGTGATTGGGTGACGACCCTTGAGGTGCCATGTGATTGGTGACGACCCTTGAGGTGCCATGTGATTGGTGACGACCCTTGAGGTGCCATGTGATTGGGTGACGACCCTTGAGGTGCCCTGTGATTGGTGACGACCCTTGAGGTGCCATGTGATTGGTGACGACCCTTGAGGTGCCATGTGATTGGTGACGACCCTTGAGGTGCCATGTGATTGGGTGACGATCCTTGAGGTGCCATGTGATTGGTGACGACCCTTGAGGTGCCATGTGATTGGGTGACGACCCTTGAGGTGCCATGTGATTGGGTGACGACCCTTGAGGTGCCATGTGATTGGGTGACGACCCTTGAGGTGTCATGTGATTGGTGACGACCCTTGAGGTGCCATGTGATTGGTGACGACCCTTGAGGTGCCATGTGATTGGGTGACGACCCTTGAGGTGCCATGTGATTGGTGACGACCCTTGAGGTGCCATGTGATTGGGTGACGACCCTTGAGGTGCCATGTGATTGGGTGACGACCCTTGAGGTGCCATGTGATTGGTGACGACCCTTGAGGTGCCATGTGATTGGTGACGACCCTTGAGGTGCCATGTGATTGGTGACGACCCTTGAGGTGCCATGTGATTGGTGACGACCCTTGAGGTGTCATGTGATTGGGTGACGACCCTTGAGGTGCCATGTGATTGAGTGACGACCCTTGAGGTGCCATGTGATTGGGTGACGACCCTTGAGGTGCCATGTGATTGGTGACGACCCTTGAGGTGCCCTGTGATTGGTGACGACCCTTGAGGTGCCATGTGATTGGGTGACGACCCTTGAGGTGCCATGTGATTGGTGACGACCCTTGAGGTGCCATGTGATTGGTGACGACCCTTGAGGTGCCCTGTGATTGGGTGACGACCCTTGAGGTGCCATGTGATTGGGTGACGACCCTTGAGGTGCCATGTGATTGGTGACGACCCTTGAGGTGCCATGTGATTGGGTGACGACCCTTGAGGTGCCATGTGATTGGGTGACGACCCTTGAGGTGCCATGTGATTGGGTGACGACCCTTGAGGTGCCATGTGATTGGTGACGACCCTTGAGGTGCCATGTGATTGGTGACGACCCTTGAGGTGCCATGTGATTGGTGACGACCCTTGAGGTGCCATGTGATTGGGTGACGACCCTTGAGGTGTCATGTGATTGGGTGACGACCCTTGAGGTGCCATGTGATTGTGTGACGACCCTTGAGGTGCCATGTGATTGGGTGACGACCCTTGAGGTGCCCTGTGATTGGTGACGACCCTTGAGGTGCCATGTGATTGGGTGACGACCCTTGAGGTGCCATGTGATTGGTGACGACCCTTGAGGTGCCATGTGATTGGTGACGACCCTTGAGGTGCCATGTGATTGGGTGACGACCCTTGAGGTGCCATGTGATTGGTGACGACCCTTGAGGTGCCATGTGATTGGTGACGACCCTTGAGGTGCCATGTGATTGGTGACGACCCTTGAGGTGCCATGTGATTGGTGACGACCCTTGAGGTGTCATGTGATTGGGTGACGACCCTTGAGGTGCCATGTGATTGAGTGACGACCCTTGAGGTGCCATGTGATTGGGTGACGACCCTTGAGGTGCCATGTGATTGGTGACGACCCTTGAGGTGCCCTGTGATTGGTGACGACCCTTGAGGTGCCATGTGATTGGGTGACGACCCTTGAGGTGCCATGTGATTGGTGACGACCCTTGAGGTGCCATGTGATTGGTGACGACCCTTGAGGTGCCCTGTGATTGGGTGACGACCCTTGAGGTGCCATGTGATTGGGTGACGACCCTTGAGGTGCCATGTGATTGGTGACGACCCTTGAGGTGTCATGTGATTGGGTGACGACCCTTGAGGTGCCATGTGATTGGGTGACGACCCTTGAGGTGCCATGTGATTGGTGACGACCCTTGAGGTGCCATGTGATTGGTGACGACCCTTGAGGTGCCATGTGATTGGTGACGACCCTTGAGGTGCCATGTGATTGGTGACGACCCTTGAGGTGTCATGTGATTGGGTGACGACCCTTGAGGTGCCATGTGATTGAGTGACGACCCTTGAGGTGCCATGTGATTGGGTGACGACCCTTGAGGTGCCATGTGATTGGTGACGACCCTTGAGGTGCCCTGTGATTGGTGACGACCCTTGAGGTGCCATGTGATTGGGTGACGACCCTTGAGGTGCCATGTGATTGGTGAGGACCCTTGAGGTGCCATGTGATTGGTGACGACCCTTGAGGTGCCCTGTGATTGGGTGACGACCCTTGAGGTGCCATGTGATTGGGTGACGACCCTTGAGGTGCCATGTGATTGGGTGACGACCCTTGAGGTGCTCTGTGATTGGGTGACGACCCTTGAGGTGCCATGTGATTGGTGACGACCCTTGAGGTGCCATGTGATTGGGTGACGACCCTTGAGGTGCCATGTGATTGGGTGACGACCCTTGAGGTGCCATGTGATTGGGTGACGACCCTTGAGGTGCCATGTGATTGGTGACGACCCTTGAGGTGTCATGTGATTGGTGACGACCCTTGAGGTGCCATGTGATTGGTGACGACCCTTGAGGTGCCATGTGATTGGTGACGACCCTTGAGGTGCCATGTGATTGGTGACGACCCTTGAGGTGCCATGTGATTGGTGACGACCCTTGAGGTGCCATGTGATTGGTGACGACCCTTGAGGTGCCATGTGATTGGTGACGACCCTTGAGGTGCCATGTGATTGGGTGACGACCCTTGAGGTGCCATGTGATTGGTGACGACGTCCTTTGAGTCGTTTGCTAGTGGGCAGGATGTGGGGGGCTCCAGCTGCTAGAACCGTTGTTCAGTGCAACCGCTGTGGTACAGGCTCTTCTGCTGAGCTACTGGCCCATGGAACGCTTGTCCATCTCTCTCCCGCCCCATCCTGCCCTTCTCTCCGTCCCTGCATTGCCATTCCTGTCTCCTTTTCCTGCCCTGCATTTTTCATAACTTCACCTTTTTCTGCACGTGCTTACCCCTTCCTCCCTCACCCGGTCTTTCGCTGGACAGGCCTGAAGCGCTGAGTGCATGCAATCAGGTACTCATGGTGGGCCTTCACTCGTTTGTTGCAACTTCCTTGGGAGGTGCCTATGCGTTATTCCTAGACATGAGCTAGTCACGAGTCGATTTTTACTCCTCTTTTACCCCCCACTCCTCTTCCCCCCCCCCCATCAACCTTTATTCCGCTTATACCTCCCACTCCTCTCACACTCTCTACTCCTCTCGCACCCCTCTTCACTCCTCTCATAACCCCCCACTCCTCTCATAACCCCCCACTCCTCGCATGTCATGCCGATGACCATCCAGGAATCTATCTCATTTGCCTCCTGCTTGCGACTTCGCCTCAACCTGCCTTTACTCCCACGCAGGCTTCGGTCATCCGTTGACAGGCCAGCATGTGCTTGTGTAGCTTCATCTCAAGGTTGTCAAATGTATAGCCGCAAATTGCCTGTGAGGTGCTCGCATTGTGTTCCTTCTAGCGAGACTTTTGTTGTAAGCTGTTACATTCTCAGTTGAGATGAGTGATGGTTCACTGCTGGATGAATGTAATAGAATGGACCATTCTGAAACTAGATACACAGAAGAGAAAGATCCTACATCCAGCTGCTGCAATATGACAGACAAGGTTCTCGGCCTGCTGCTGCCGGATGGTCCAATGCCCTAGGAATCAGTGTGGGGTTGGGTAGTACCAATGGGAACATGCAGTCGCTTCTGGGCAACAGAACCAGCAGACTGCTGTTCAGATGTAGAACGGCTTGTGTTGTGGCACTCGAAAATCAATATGCAAGAAAAGGACGAGGTTGTGCCGTCACCCTTGGAGAACCGCAGCAGAAGACTTCCTTTCAGCAGCATCCACGTGATTACAAATCGCACAAATTGCCACCGTTGAACAACGAGAGCTCCTCACTGCTGCGGAGGGCGAGGATGGTGAAGGCTGAGCACAGTGCCGGAGATCCTGCAAAGGGTTCCAAGAGGGCGACAGTGATGAGGGTGGTGATCTTGGCTGTGCGCCTGCCAGATAGTGCCTGCCAGATAGTGCCTGCCAGATAGTGCCTGCCAGATAGTGCCTGCCAGATAGTGCCTGCCAGATAGTGCCTGCCAGATAGTGCCTGCCAGATAGTGCCTGCCAGATAGTGCCTGCCAGATAGTGCCTGCCAGATAGTGCCTGCCAGATAGTGCCTGCCAGATAGTGCCTGCCAGATAGTGCCTGCCAGATAGTGCCTGCAGAGAGGGAGAGAGATGACGGAAGGCAAGGGTGGGCAGGGAAGGAAGAAAATCAGCGCAGGCGTGGAGGATGAAGGCTGGCAGAGCAGAGCACAGTGCCTGGAAAGGTGGCCGATTTGAGCAAGCCAATCGGCTGTTAAGAGGCCACAGCTCCCTGCTCCAACGGTGGCAATGTTATTCTTGCGCCTGCAAAATGGGGGCTGTTGGGGTTCAAGGGAAAATGGTAAGGTAGGAGGGTGACGACAGTGAAGTAGGAAAGTTCAAAGGCAGCTCCTCGCTTTAGCGGACGGCACCATGTGTGCCCCACCCACTGGCACACGGGGCCTGGTGAGGGAAGAGAGTGATGGTGGGTGGAGCATCACACACAGCAGTGTTGTAGAGACAGGGCAAGTGCGAGGTGCACGCGGTAGCGCCCTGCCACCATGAGCTGAAAGATTCGGAAAGGTGTGGGTTGGTGGGAGTGGGGTGTGGGAATGCAGCGGAGGGAAGGAGGGAGGAACGAGCATTGGCAAACAAGGGAGAGTGGTGAGAGCTGCAGGCTGTAGCACTGGCAGAGAGGTTGATGCGCTGGACGAGGTTGGGAAGGCGGAGAGGGGACTGGGTCTGGGGATAGGAGGGGAAAGGGAGGAACATGAAGATGCAAGGGTATGGATCTCCTGGCTTCTGGTTTGCAGCTCGTACCTCGTGCACATGCAGGGGCAGAGCAGGCAGTGACCTGCCAAAGCTGCTTGTCACCAACAATTGCAGTGAGGGCCAGCGCCCATGCAATGAAATGGCGGGGAGATAAAGGGGGGTGGGGAAGAGGAAGCTGAAGCGGAAGGGGATGAGGGAGAGGATGGGGAAGGGGGCAGGAATGGAGAAAAAGGGGAGAATGGGAATGCATATGGTGAAGGGGTTACGGGGGTAATGATGGAGAGTGATGGCTCCACTACACACATAGAGAGTGATCAGAAGATGGGGGACCAATGGGAGGGGTTGGTGAGGTGAGTGACAGACTGAACTGAGACTGATCTGAGACTGATCTGAGACTGATCTGAGACTGACCTGAGACTGATCTGAGACTGATCTGAGACTGATCTGAGACTGATCTGAGACTGATCTGAGACTGACCTGAGACTGACCTGAGACTGACCTGAGACTGACCTGAGACTGACCTGAGACTGACCTGAGACTGACCTGAGACTGACCTGAGACTGACCTGAGACTGACCTGAGACTGACCTGAGACTGACCTGAGACTGACCTGAGACTGACCTGAGACTGACCTGAGACTGACCTGAGACTGACCTGAGACTGACCTGAGACTGACCTGAGACTGACCTGAGACTGACCTGAGACTGACCTGAGACTGACCTGAGACTGACCTGAGACTGACCTGAGACTGACCTGAGACTGACCTGAGACTGACCTGAGACTGACCTGAGACTGACCTGAGACTGACCTGAGACTGACCTGAGACTGACCTGAGACTGACCTGAGACTGACCTGAGACTGACCTGAAACTGACCTGAAACTGACCGGCCACTGACCGGCCACTGACCTTGCGGAAGAAAACGGCCATGGGGCACCCAGCAGGCCCCCAGCCTCGCCCTACCCACCCGCAAGTGTCTCATGAGTATCAAGCGGCCCTCTACCCCTCACTCAATCTCAACGCACCTCATTCTCGCTCTGCTCCTCCATCATCACAAACTGCCACATGGCACCTAGCAGCCCCGCCCAGCCTGGCCTGCAGCCCGCACCAGAGACCTGCCCGCATGAGCCCACTTCCTTCGCCCCACGCACCTCCCTCTCCCGCCACTCGTCCTTGAGAAAACAAAAAATGTCGCAACCTAGCAGCCCCGCCCAGCTCCGCCTGCAGCCTCTCTCCGCGCACCTCCGCCACGTCAGCAGCGCCTACCGTGCTGCTGTAGGGGGGTTAAAAAAGGTGCGCCCGTGCCGTAGGGGTGGTAGTTGGAGGGACAGAATTAGGTGTGGGAGAAGCAGATGCCAAGCTGAAAGGGGGAGGGGAAGGGGACGGCGAGGGCGCAAGGGGAGATGGGGGGAAAGGGTAAAGAGCACAGTGGCTGATGAGAGGGAAGTTGGAGACGGTGTTGCAGGGGCATCAAGTCCATGTCCGTAGGCCAGAAGTCAGTGCAGGAGAACCATGTGCGGGGCTGCGCTGCTGGTACGAGGTGGGGAGGGGGGGGGGGGGGGAGGAGGTGGAGGGGGGAGGGAAGAGGGTATGAATGGGTGGATGGATGTTGGAGTTTGGGTGCGTTGCAGCATGGCATGGCAAGGAGTGAGCAGTGCGTTGCGTTGGTTCCCCGTGGCGCCCATGAGGCCGCCAATCGCCCGCAGGTTCCCCGTCAACGGTGCGCCCGCGTGTTGCAACGGCGGGGATTCACGGGCCAGAAGTCGGTGCAGGAGAAGCAGGAATGATGCGGAGCTGGCGGGAACGGAAGGGTTGGGGGAGGTGGAAAAGGAGAGGAAGGGACAGCGCCAGCGGGTGAGCAGCGCGGCCAGCACACCATAGAGGCAGTACGTTTGTGAGCAGTGCTTGTATGTAACTCTAAACCCTAAAGACTCACCAAAAGGACACAAAATCCGGGCCAGACGTCAGTATAGGAGCAATAGGTGCGGAGCTACTGGGCGTGGCCGGGAAAGGGGGTGAAGAGCGAGGGAGTGGTAAGCGGCGGATATGAAGAGGTGACGTTTGAGTCGACTCAAAAGTCACCTCGTGAAAAGAGAGGGTGTGGTAAGCCAAGGATATAGTGCCGTTCAAATGACTAGGGCCAAAACCCGTGGGCCCACATGAGTGTAGGAGCAACGGGTGCAGAGCTGGAGGGGAGGGGGAGAGGTGATGAAAGGAAAAGCAGGCTCAGTGCCTCATGAGAGGAATGAGGAGGGAGACGGAGCCATAGGGGCGCGAATCTGTGGGCTGGTAGCCGATACAGGAGGGTTGAAGGTTTAGGGTGCGGATGCGGAGTTGGGGAGGAAGGGGGGGAAAGGAAGCCTTCAGTGCGTTGGTGAGACGGATGCAGGGAGGATGAGTGTGGGAAACAGTGCCGTATGGCAGGAATTTGTGTAGGGGAAGCACGTGGCGAGCTAGAGGAGAAGGTGGGGGGGAAGGAAACGGTTAAGGGGAATTGGAAAGGGGAGAGAAAGGGGGGTATTGCCTTTGTGAGTAGTATGCTTGTACGGTAAGGACAGATGTGAGGGGGTCACAAGTTGGTGTGGATTGAAGATGTGTGAAGTTGAATGAATGGGACGGGGGAAGGTCATGCAAATGGGGACTGGGTGGGTGGGAAGAGGGAATCAGGAATTGGTCGGGGAGTGGTGGTAACTGGCTGGAGGGTGCATGGGGGAATGGATCTCACCTTGACTACAACCACCTTCTCAACTCACCTGGCCTGCCCATCAGCTCCCTCCACTCAACTTACTCTCACAGCCTTTTTACCGCCACTCACAGTGACTTCGCGGTGAACCCTCACCGACTCCCACCGAATCCCACCGACTCCCACCGACTCCCACCGAATCCCACCGACTCCCACCGAATCCCACCGACTCCCACCGACTCCCACGTGGGCGGTATCCAGCAACCCAACCACCCCCTTACCACCATCGCCCACGAGTGACTCGAGAAATGCCTGCACGCATCTCCCGCACACCCCCTCCCTGCACCGACTCTCACCTTGGCGATGTCAACCGCCACCCATCAATCACACCCCTCGCATCCCCTATTGCCTCCGCCAGCCCCAGCAGCACCTCCTTCTTCACCGCCCTTCAGCCTCCTTCACCCCATTCACCCCTCCTAGGGTGATTTGACTCTCACACACCGGCCCTACCGCACAAAGACCTCTCACCGACTCTCAATCACTACCACTCCCATCGCCGTCGGTAACGCCAAACGCATCGATAATAGCCTCTGCCAACCCCATCCGCAGTCCCCCCTTCAAACCCCCTTCATCGCCCCTTCATCCTCCGTCCCGCTCTCCCCGACACCGCCCCTAACGCCGCCAATGCCGCTTGAGCTGCTTGGCGTTTTTTTTCCGCGTGTCTTGTCGTCCGTCGCTGCGCCTGCTGCCGCAGAAGCCCCTTCTGACTTTGAAAGGACCTTGTATCAGTTGTAGACAGTAGGTACATCCACCGCACATACATATCCTTCCCCTGTTGTGATTCCTCCTCCGTCATCCCATAATTGATAGGATTTCGGAAACCTGTGGTTTCATTATCGGTCGCCGAGAAGCGGCCAGTAACAGCATAAGTCGCCCTGTCGTTCCGCCTTCACTACTTGCAGCGTGAGCATGCAGCCAGTGGGCAGCACATCATCATCCGACCGACGCGAATGACGATTTACCAAAACAGGCGACGGCGACCGTCAAGAGGAGGCTTTCGACCAATGACGTTCGCCGGTTGGTGAGCAAAATTGTACAGGCGGGAATCCATTTCATTGGTGAGAGTGAGGATCCCCGCGGTGGGGGGAGAGTGATGATCGTGTCGGATGGACTCGAATCTGACAATGCCGCAACCTAACAGCAGCTGGCGACACGGGCAGGATGACGGGTCGTTGCTGTAGCTGCTAGCTGAAAATTATGTCTATTAGTAGCTTTTAAAGGCTAGCAGGGGCTATTAGTGGAACTAATGGCGATTGATAGTGCGACTGCACATGGTAGAATGGGTTGACGGACGGCGACGATTCCGCCAATGCGACGACGGCGCGGTGCGGACGGAAAAGCCGCTACGGTTCCATGCACAGCTAGTAGAAACCGCCATCGGTGGACCCTTAGAATTGAGCTAGGCACACATAGTTCAGAAATTAGGGTTGGAAGCTGTATTGGTTATCAAACAGTACAGAACTTGCTACTGACGGGAATGTGATTCAGAGAGAAGCCTCCTTATTCACGAGCTCAACCTTGCTAGGCGAAAACCTCGGAAACGAAGGTTTGGAGAAAGGCGGGATTGAAAGGTTCGGCGGCACGAGTCAGCTTCGGTTTCCTCAAATCGCTCGAGCCTGATCCCCTTCATGTTCGGGCCTATTAGGCCCCAAATACAGTACCAAACCGAACGAGCTTCAAACCGAATTCTCCGCCTACCACACCCAATCGGTTCGCCAGTCGAGCTTGGTGTGCCAGGCGTACGACCTTTGCTTCGGCACGGAAAACGCTTGGTTAGCCGTGCCAGAATTACCCCTCTGGTTGAGAACCCGTGCCAGACTTCATGTCCCTTCTTATTTGCGAACTCAACGGAACCCCGTAGTGTTCGGAGTTTTGCACAATGTCGTAGCGACATGAACGAAGTCGGTAACTCTTTGAATTCTGCTGTCAGCAGGCAGAACCAAATTCAAGGCAGCTCGTCTCAGCGGTCTCTGAGGACCTCCCCTCAACCAGAAAGCTTGTGTCAATCAGATCATAGTAGACGTACCATACATCGTAGACGGCGCAGCTTCCCCGGGAAAAAAGGAGACCCGAATCGCCTCTACGAAATCAGTACGCACGGTGACGCCGATATCTCTGTACCCATTATTTTTCGTGCATCGTGTCCTCTCATCTCTTTTCTGACCCGCCCATCTTTTTGCCTCCTTCCTTCAAATGATCTCTAAGTCTCGCCATCACTCAGCACGCACCGCAGATCGACTTACTCCGCGCCGCTGCTGAGTCGCTTCGAGGGCCGCGGAAGATTGTCTAAGAAACACTAATTTGAGGTAGTAAGCATCCCTATCGTTTCCCCAATCGGACCTCCGCATTGCAAGCCTTGCAAGCCTGAGCCCGAGGCTCACATCCTACGAATCATGGTGCTCGTAGTTTTGTCAGAGCCCGGCGATCTGCAGCTTTGAGTTACAACTAGCAGAGCCCCTTTGCGCATTCTTGCCCCTCGTAGCATTGATTCCCCGGCCCCTTCCCGTGCTGTGATTCATCGCCTTGCTTCACGGAGGACTCACGCTGTCACTCGCCCAGGAAATGGCCGTCCAAGACTGTGACCCAACTCACGTTGTGATGTGACCAACCGCATTGCTAGTCTCGGCCCTTCCCGTGCTGCTATTTTTTTATGTCTAGGCTCATTCACCATGCTGTCATTCACCTAGGCTCTGATTCACCGAGGCTCGGACTGACATAGGTTTTGACGTAGGCTTCTCGTCATTGTTTCCTCGCCCTGGTTCAGACTCCCACACTGTCACTCACGCAAGCACTGGCCGACCTAGCCTGTGACCCATATCAGCGTGTGGCAACCTAGGCAGTGAGTGACCCATTCTATTTCTATGTTGGCCATCAGCAAGCACTTCTAGTACACCATCGTATAAACTCACGTTCTCATTGCAGAGTAACTCAAATCGCCTCCACGAAATAAGTACGAAATGGCGGCGTTTTCCCCTTGTTGCCATACATATAGTCTTCCGCGCATTGTGTCCTCTCGTCATCTTTCTTGCCCGCTCGTCTCCTGCCTCCTTCCCGCGCAAATCTCCGAAGTCGCCAAGCACCTCGACAACACGCAGCACGCAGTGACGCACTAAAGATCCACTTGCTCCGTGCTGCTACTGAATCGCTCATAGAGTCGCGAAAACTTAGACATTCAAAGAAACCCTAAATAGAGGTAAGCCTCCCTATCAAATTCCCGACCGGCCCACCGCATCGTGCAAGCCTGACGCTCACAGCCTACGAACCATGGTGTTCGTAGTTCTGTCACTACTATCGGCCCGTAATGTGCAACTTTAGGTCACATCACCGACTCGCTTACGTATTCCGCACACCGCCAAGAACTATCAGAGCTCCTTGACGCCTTCTTGCCCCTCGTAGCACTCTTGCCCCTGCTCCTTTCCGTTCTGTGTTTCCTCGCTATGGTTCAAGGAGTCACGCTGTCACTCACCCATTCAATGACCGTCCAAGCCTGTGATCCAACCCAGGTTGTGACCAACCGCAAGCCTGGGCCCTTCCAGTGCTGCTATTTTTTCGTCTAGGCTCATTCACCATGCTGTCATTGCCCTAGGCTCTGATTGACCTAGGCTCTGATTGACCTAGGCTCTGATTGACCTAGGCTCTGATTGACCTAGGCTCTGATTGACCTACGCTCTGATTGACCTAGGCTCTGATTGACCTAGGCTCTGATTGACCTAGGCTCTGATTGACCTAGGCTCTGATTGCCCTAGGCTCTGATTGCCCTAGGCTCTGATTGCCCTAGTTCATGCACTCTCGCTGTCACGTTCGCAGGCTCTGGCCGACCTTGCCTGTGACCCACTTCGGCTTGTGACCAACCTATGCGGTGAGTGACCCAGCCCGTGAGGCTGTGATTGATCTTGCCGTGACTGACTGAACTTGACTGACCTAACGCAACTAATCTAACTCGGCTGACCTAACTTGACTGACCTACCTTGACCGGCATAGCTTGACTGACATAACTCGACTTACCTAACTTGACTGTTCTAACTTGACTTACCTAACTTGACTGTTCTAACTTGACTGACCTTTCCTTGACTGACCTTTCCTTGACTGACCTTTCCTTGACTGACCTTTCCTTGATTGAATTAACTTGACTGGCA